ATTTTGTTTATTATAATTAAAGAATGTTGTGGTAAGGTGTATTCACCACTTGGGAAGGATTACTCTCTTCCTATACCACAAAAGATTGTTGTATCCTTTTAGGGTACACTTGTGATGTTCATACATAAAACAAATACACACGCTACTGTTAATACGTATATTTGTTCGTCTTCTTTTCTTCTTGTTTTTACTATTTTACTATTTCGCCTTTCTACGTGGTAAACGATGGAAATGAGGGATGACTTATCTCAACATACAAGACATAACTAAAACAGACCGATAATAAATCAAGAAAACACACCAAGGAAACGACCAAGATCTAATCTTGACGACTCTCATACAAGCCTCAACTATGCCAATCAACAGCAAGACGCCATACAGTCAAAAATGTTTATAAATACACCTAAATCTCAATTTCAATTTCTACCAATTTCAATTTCGTTTAAAAGTCTTCAAAATATGTCAGATAAAATCATGTTAATAGAAATTATTGAACACTGGAAAAACAAACATAATAAACCTCTCAATATGACAAGGCGTTTCGGTTATATGAATCGATTACTCGTGTTTGCGAACGATGCACCAACGTTTGAAGATCTAATTGACAGTGCTCCCTGGCCAAACAAAATAAGCAATGTAGAGTTCGATTTGTACAAGCCACGATCATTTCCCGAATCATACTCAATAATTATTCAGCAATTCCATCGTACGTGGAATGAAGCAGAGATTTTACAAGATATGAAAGAGCATTATCCATCATTAGTCCAATTAACGAGAATGTACACAAAAAACGACACAACTCTAAATAGCGTACTTGCGGATTTCATGTCAATTAAAGATGTCTAATCACTACTAGTCGACGGTAAAATTTATATTAATCAAACGACCCATGTAGTGCGACCGTATTATAAACCATTACGCATTAATAAATGTATGAAATGTTTTCATCATGATCACAAAACAAAAGAATGTCCAAATCAACAAGTATGCACACGATGTGGCGAACAACATGATATGTCCAATGGCTGCGAACGACAAGAAAAATGTGTAAATTGTAGCAGTGATCAACATTCAGCCGGTCACCCATCATGCCCAATTGTCCAGAGAATCCGTAAACAGATTAGCGAGCAACAAAAGAGATATCGTGCAGAATTGATAATCGAGAGTTCAAGTCAACAGCAAAACTATGATTATCCTTCTACTGACCAGTTTCCACCGCTTGATCAGACAAATCAAGTGAGCTCGAGTCATCAATACGAGCGCTATGCCGATGCAGTAACGGGAAATCAACAAAATATAAACGGTACGAGGAACATTGAGCACATTCTTTCCTCTCATCTACGAAAGATCGACCAAAGACTTGAAAACATCGAAACAAAGCTAACGGCACAGCTACGTGAACTAGAGATGAAGCTTGACCAATAACAAGTCCAGCTGAATGAAATCGAACATCACTTATATAATGCAGTGCTACCGAGCATACTATTAGTGAATAATGTGGTTTTTCAAATAACAAGACACCAGGCAACTAAAACTCAACTAACAAATCATGTGAACGAGATACAGAAAATATTGGAGAAGAGACAGGCGTAACAGCAAGTACAAGGTAGAATAACGCGACTAGCTTCAACGGTATCATCGAGATCTATTACCTAGAATGGCCACACAAGATAACATGCAATTTAATGTTTACAAACATAATGAACTTTTGTCGAAACTATTGATCAAAAGGAACGGAATGACAAAACTACAAATTGATTTAGGTCTAAGTATTGTTCAGGAGCTATGTTGGACTCAATCGAGAGAAAAATTGACAAAAACATGGATCGACCAATATTATCAACCTGAATCTCAATATACTCAGTTTTCTCTTCTTCAGTACAATATGCGAAATTTTTATTCAAATCAGAGCGATCTTTTAAGTATCATTAGCGAGTTTCATTCATCTGTCGTTTCTCTTAACGAATTGGGCACCGTTATACCGTTGAAAACAGTACAAAAAACACTTTTCTCTTACAACGTTTATCTCAAGGAAGGCTCGAATACACATGGAGGAGCTGTTCTCGCAACTGATAAAACTTTACACGCAGTTCCTTTGAACATCGACACACCTAATGTGGTAGCCGCTCTAGTTTCGTGTAAAGAAAAAACGTTTACAATAGCATCCTTTTATTCACCACCTGATGAACCAATTCCTAAGGACGCGCTCACCTCATTGATGCGCTTCTCAAATAATCTAATTATCGTCGGAGACTTCAATGCAAAACATTCGAACTGGCAATGTCCAACTATCAATACAAAAGGTAGGCGGTTATCCGAATGGCCTGATGGAAAAAATCTAGAGATACATAATTCGGGAATGAAGACATCGTTACGTTCAGATACGACAATCGATTTAATAATATCATCAGAAAATCCACCGTTCGTTGATTGTCATACTTTACCCTACACCGGCAGCGATCATTTACCTGTACTAGCAAGTTTTGTCGGCATTAGTTGTAGCGATGAAACTATATACGTACCAAAAACATATTGGGAAATCTATCAAATTATACTATCCCTTATTCACGACTCAATCGAAGACGACCGTTCGAAAATGGACCCGTTCAAATGGTTTGAGCAATTTCAAACATTTCTTCATGGCCTAAAAGTACGAACGACGATATGGCATAAAGCGAAACGAAAGCGATCAACAATTCCACCATCGTTAAAACTATTAATTAAGCATAAGCACCATCTCCAAAACAAATACAGGCGGTCGAAACTAGAGGAGGATCGGACGAGACTGAGGTCATGGTGTAAGCTAATACAACATGAGTTGAAGTTAGTCAAACAACGGAAGTGAAGCGATTTCATTTCCCAAGTAGCATCACCAAATCCAAGCTCATTTTGGAAAACGGTCAAAAACTGTGAATGCAAAGAAGACAATGCAATTCTCGGCGGTTACTGATGACAACGTCGTGCATTGAACACCCGCCGAAATAATAAAGTGCATGCAAGAACATTTTAAAAATCGATTCACCGCATCACAACTTGATCTAAACAATGGATTAGACACGGAAGCGAAAAAATTATGGGAACCATTGAGCACAGCGAACTCCGACGACATTAAGCTGGTATGTGATAATTCGGATCTACGTTTTACAGCTGACGAGGTGCAAAAAATAATTAAATCATGTAGTACTAAAAACTCATCAGGATTCGATTTCGTGTCAAACAAGATGGTAAAACTATTACCTGACAAATACTGTGAGTCGTTGAGCAAAGCATACAACAGACTATTCTCAGAAGCTTTTTGGGGAAACAGCTGGAAAATATCGAGAACAATATGTTTCAACAAAGTCGATTCACCCTCACCAACTACAAATCAACTGCGCCCTATATCATTACTACCGATTTTCAGTAAGGTGTACGAAAAACTCTTTTTGCTAAGATTCAACCACTGGCTAGAAGAGAAAAATGTACTCCCTCCTCAGCAGCAAGATCTAGATCCCATATGTCGATTACATCAAAAGTCAACTTTTTATTAGAACAGTTAACACAGTCATATGGTTACAATACCTTCACTCCAGTTGTTTTTGTAGACTTCCTGCAAGCGTTTGACATGCTATGGCAGCAAGGCGTGTTATTAAAGCTACGACGAATGGAATGTCCATTTACCTGTTTAATATGGATCACCCATTATTTCACAGATCGAAAACTGCGAATTGATTATAGCTCCGTGATATCAGATGAAATCCCCATTGAAAGGGGAGCTTCGCAAGGGGGTTGTCTTAGCCCGAGGCTGTACATTGTCAGTAACTGCGATCTGCCGTATATTTTCCAACAGCCAGATAACTCACACCTCTACGTCGACGATTTGAGCAATGTGTACTATTCAAATATATTTATGAAGTTTCGTCACCAACTAACAGAGATTGAGAAGCGCATCAATGAGGATATGCGGCGTTTAAAGAAATATGCAGATGACTGGCACGAACCAGTAAATACATCGAAAACGGAACTAGTGGTTTACTACAACACCGTGCAATGTCCAAAATTAAAAATCTATTTTAACAATGTATTATTAAAACAGTCACAACTTTTTAAGTATCTAGGTTTCCTTCTGGATTCCAAGCTATGCTTTAGATACATGCTCGATATCCAGTTTGTTAAGCTGAGACGATCTTATGCTATTCTAAAATATATCCACCGAGCATTTCCTACCTTTTTTCGGTTAAAGACGAAATTTTTCAGTACATACATATGGCCACACGTGTATCACATTTCTTCTATCTACTGTCTGTTTTCATAAACTGCTCAAAACCGCGTTAGTCAATTCTATAGACCCTGTCTCCGCATGCTTTTTTGTATCTTTCGTTGTTCTACTTTTAGTCTGCCAAACACGCGTGTTATATAGAACAGAATATTTGTTACTTCATTTTCATGAAGAAACGTTATCCATGTTAAATAACGATACATCAGAAACATTCGATATATGTATATGTTACTAATATTCAGGTAGATTTTAAATTCGTCTAGGCTAACTTACGGATAGAAAAAGATAAAAAAAGATAAATAGAATACAATAAGGATTATAATATATATCATTTACACTTATTCAAAACACTAGTGATCTTCTAATAAAGGTGTTATTTTGGCTTTTGCACCATAAGCTTCAGACTAATCTTTTAAATAGGAATGGTCATCTATTGTAGGGTGGTCTTTTATTCTGGGGAGGGGTTTACACAGGTAACAACTAAGAATATGCAGATACTAATGATTACGAAGTTAGAGTGACAGTACAGATGAAAAGGAAGTAAAGAAATAAGTCAGATTGGTGGAAGGACAGGACGACAACAAACATATCAGGCAGAGAAAAACAAACTACCCACATCGATTGATTAATGTAGATAAGAAAAGAATATCATCCCTTCTTTATTCTCTTTCCCTCTCAATGTTCAACGAAGACCCATCAGTAGTATAGTGCAGTCAGCAAGAGGGTACCACAAAAAGTATGTCGAAGTTCGGATCGTGCCGACCCGCGAAGCAGTCACGTTTTATAAAGCTGGTATTATTCATACATGAGCCGCTTTTCGCTTCCCAATTGTATTCACATGGGGAAACAACAGCATATTTCCATGAAAAACCAAACACCTTGAAATATGTATATAGATAATAACTACTGGCATACACATACTAATGATTACAAATTTAGAGTGACACTATATACAAGTATGGTTCATCTTCGATTCACTGACCCTTGACTGAAAATGGGTTTTTAGCGATGATTTGGTGTTAGTATGCGCTTAGCTTTTTAAAGGGATGGAGAAACAGGAAATTTTTGTTTATTTA